AGTGTGGTGGGTCACCTGTCCTCTTGATCAAGGAAGCCGAGGAGACCCCACTAGATGGACTTGAACCAGTGTCCAGTCTACAAAGAGGAGGGTCAACACAGAGGAATCATTTCCTCCATGCTTCCAAGCAAAGCCAACCATGGTCGAGCAGGATCTTTGACTTATCTTCACATAGGCAGAACTGGTAAAAGAAAGGAGCTAGGGGCTCCTCCCAAGCCCATGTGGCCCCTGACGAACAGATCCTCAAACGACCTTAAGAGCAAAAATAAATTGGTTTATCTGGGCCAACTGTATGGCCTTAAACACCCAAAAGGAAAGTATAACCAAAGATTAAAGGGGCCAATATAATTTTTAAGAGTCCATATGCATAGCTAAAGGCTACATAACAAGCAGCAATGCCAGATAGGAGATACCTTCCTTTGAGTTGTTGGCCAGGGTGGCCAAAGGGACTCCCAGATAGTAACCCAGCATAGAACTGGGGAAATGAACAGCAGACCCCAATCTTATCCAAAGGAATAGTGACAACTGATTACTGCTAGATGAGGAACAGCTGACCCTCCTAAAACAAAGACCTCTAGATAGGCTGACTAGATTCACCAGATGGACAAGTAGTGGGGAATGGCTGGGGGTGCCAACAACACAGCAGACAGTAGCAGGGATATCAGCGTATAAGGGCTCAAGTTGGGGGAGGGAGGCTATGGGAGGGTGCCATCTGGGAAGTGGGTGTATAGTTGAATAAGATGGTTTGGGATGTTCTGTGTGATAAACACACATACAAAATAAATCAACGAATTTTAAAAAATGTATTATATTTGAGGAGGAGCATGGAAACTTACATCATGTTAATTAGTAGAGGTGATAAAGACTACCACTGAAATCCAGCCGATGACTTTATAGACATACACAGGTGCCAAGGATTGAAGTGCAACCGATTATGACTGGTAATAGATACATACAGATTAGAGATGCATGTGCCAACATCTCAGCAGCAAAAACAATGAGTCTTTAAGGAACAATATATTCTAAAATGAAATGGAGATCTTTTTCAAAGGTTAAAAACTCATTCAGTTTTTGTCTTACTGGGCTTATACTGAGTTCAATATTGTATAACTGTGTTAATTCAACTGTGAACCTAGAAACTTGCACCCAGTTGTGAAAGAGATGTGTACTCTTGCTCTGGAGTGTGTTACTGAATATGTTAAAGCTGTAATGAAATGCTTCTTCTAATCATGCAGTTATTAAAAATTTTTTAAAATAATGATTAAAAAAATAAATAAATCAAAAAATTAAAAGAACAGCCTCAGTATTTACTTTATCCACCTCCTCTGCCCCAGCCCAGAGTGAACCTCTCACTTCCCAACTTTCTGTTTCTAGTACTCCTTTGACACCCAGCTTACATGGCGTTAGGTATTATTTTTCTCCTCTTGCTCTAACAGATCAATTAAACTCTAAATGGTTTGATGAGCATATCACAATATCCTTGTGCACTTTGTATTCACAGAAGAAATAAATATATACTACTTTGTTTTGGTTTGGAAGCCTGGGAAAATGTGATTTTTGTGTGTATGAAGTGTGTGTATTGGAGTGTGTTTCCATACCAACTCATATTTCTGTCTCAGACCAAATCTGCAGGACTTAACAACTCACTTTTGCTTGACTCATAGAAATAAAGAAAAATAGTAGTTTCTTCCTTGAGCAAAATGATTAAGTGGTTTCTTCCTTGAGCAAAATGGCCAAAGTCCAACTCTTGGCCTTTGCAGGCTCCTTAGAGACCAGGCCCAGGCCCAGAGTGGGCCGTTGAGCTTTCAGGCTTTCATTTTCAAAATGAACCCTGACTGACAAGCAGCTACTTCCGTTGCTCTGGAAACTCCCCTCCGTAACTCCAAATCTATAAACATCAAACCACATGCATGCACACATACTTCCAGAATATGCAAACAGCTGCAGCAATATTTTCTTTAAATCAAAATGTCAGCATAGAGAATGCTGGATATAAGAATGCTTGGACTATTAATTTTCCTCACCACTAAACAGGCAGTTCCCTTCCTATCAGTTCTGGTTCCAGTTCAAAGACTGAAAATGCAGGCACCTGGCCAGTGCCACACACCCATGATGCATGTGCCCTTGGTGAACTCTAATACCAGAGACCAAAGCCACGTTGTATCTCTAATAACTCATTTAATCTTCACTTTGCAATTGCTTTCTTCTCTAGATCACCAGCTGCACACCCCAATTCCTATAACTGCCGAACCTCTCTCTAGTTCAGTAGCAAGGGTCTCTGGAACTTGATACCAGAGA